ACATGGAGAGTGAACATCCTAGAGAAAGAGACTATACATTCTCTTCAGCACACAGATCGTATTCATTGGACTATATATTAATAGAACACAGACAACTGGAATCCTTGATTAAATCCGACATAGAGGTGATGTCTATCTCTGATCATGCTCCTGTCACAGCAAGACTATGGTTAGGAGGGGAAAGGAATAAGAGGGCCATGTGGAGATTACATGAGACACTTATACAAGATCCCAAAATAGAGAAAAGGTTAAGGAAAGAGATCAAGCAATTTTTTGCTCTGAATGAAATGGAGGAAGTATCGGTGGCTAATATTTGGGATGCACATAAAGCTTATATGAGGGGAATCTTGATAGCTCTAGGGATGAAAAAAAAGAAAGAAAGAGAGAGGAAAATAAGGGGGTAATGGAAGAGTTATATATATTAGAACAGGTACATAAAAAAAAGCAGGATATAGATGTACATCAGAAGATTAGCTTTAAAAGAGAAGAACTGAAAGATTTATTGGAACAGGAAGTGAGGAAAGTCTTTAACAGCGTTTCAAAGGAAAGATCCCGGTGGGGGAATAGACCAGGCAAATATCTGATGAAAAGATTGAAGGATAAGAAATCCAAAAATTATATAGTAAATATCAAAGATGAAAACGGGGAACTGGTATACTCCACCACCGGCATCGCTAATATGTTCCAGAAGTTTTATGGTGAGCTTTATGAGGTGAATCCTAAAAATCAGAAAGTAATAGAGGAAGAAAAGAAAAAGGAAGAGACTAGAATTTTTAAAGGCGGCACACTTACCAAGAATATCAGAAGATAAATTAGTAGCCCTAGAACGAGTAATCTCCCAGGATGAAATTAGAGCGACCCTGAAGAGTACGGCTGGAGGAAAGAGCCCAGGTCTCGATGGTTATACAGTGGGCTACTACAAGAAATTTAAAGAGTTATTGGTCCCTAAACTCTATAGATATATGAATGCGTTAGATGAGGGTATGGAAATGAGAGAAGAATCACTACATGTGTATATAACAGTTATCCCTAACGAAGGGAAGGATAGTTCACAATGTGCTAGTTATAGACCTATATCATTATTAAATATTGATACAAAATTATTTGCGAAAGTGCTAGCCACCAGGATGAAAGAGCTGATGCCAGAGAGTGGATACATCTAGATCAAGTGGGATTTTTTTCCAGGGAGGGAAGGGAGAGACAATGGTCTAAGAACATTGCTCCACCTACAAAAAGCAAAAAACAAAAAGCAGCCGACAATTGTACTGTTGATTGATGCAGAAAAAGCCTTTGATAGGGTGGATTGGGGATTTATAATAAATAAACTAGAGATATTAGGAATAGGGACCAGAATGGTAAGGTGGATAAAAGGGCTTTATAACGGCCCCTCTTCAGCAGTCAAGGTGAATGGGTCCCTATCAGGGACCTTTAAAATGTATAATGGTACTAGGCAGGGGTGTCCATTATACCCGTTTCTATTTGTCCTATCCCTGGAACCACTTTTGGTGTTGGTAAGAAAGAACACGGATATTAAAGGAATTAAGATAGGAGAAGTAGAACATAAGGTGGCAGCGTATGCAGATGATATGCTGTTCTACAATGTTAATCCTAGATTGACGTTGCCTAACTTAATGGGATTATTAAAACGATACGGGGAGCTTTCAAATCTAAAAGTAAACCTTTCAAAATCTGAGATCCTAAATATTAATGTAGAAATGCAGATTTTGTAAACAGATTTTCCATTTACATGGAGGGAGAGGGAATTAAGTTACCTGGGAATAACGTTAACCCCCTCAATAAAGAATTTATATCAAGTTAACTATATACTATTAATAAATTAAATTAAAGATGAAATGAGAAGACTCTCAATAGGGCGGATCTTGTGGATTGGATGGATTAATCTGGTTAAAATGGTGATAGTCCCAAAAATCCTGTATAAGTTTCAAATGCTCCCAATATATTTACCAGGATCTTTTTTTAGGATGATAAGAAAATTGATACTGAGGTTTATATGGGCTAATAAGAAACCAAGAATGAAGTATGAGGTTTAATGTAACAACAAAGAGAAAGGAGGATTAAATCTGCCAAATATGAGGAAGTATTATATGTTGGTGTTATTATCACAGGTGGTAGATTGGGCACACAACTCACATGAGAAAAGTTGGGTTAAAATGGAAGGTATTTTCCAAAGTAATGCACAATTAGAGAGAATTATCTGTTTTGAGATTTAGATGAAAATAGTAGTACACTGACACAGGAGGTGTTGAGAATATGGGATGGGATGCATAAGTCAATGGGCTGGAAGCACAATTCATTGTTGATGCCCCTGGTGGATACAGATTTTTTTCCACCAGGGAATGATATTATTTCTGGGAAATGGTTTAAAAATAGAAATGCACGGTTAAGGGATATAGTAGATAAGGGGAATTTATGTACTTTTCAAGAGTTAAAGAGTAAAAAAGATTTCTTTTATACATTAGATGAATTTAGATACTATCAATTAGGACATTTTGTCTCAACACTTCCCACACCACTGAAGATGCCGGAGGACTTGCTTCCATTTGAAAAAATGTTGAGTTCTGGGATAGTACATAAACATGCAACCTCTAGGATATACAAGATCCTTATTGAATGGGTGGGATCTCAACCTCCTCTATTTTTTAGAGAAATGGGAAAGAGAATTGGGTGCAAAAATGAATGAGCAACAGAAGAATAAAATGTTTAAGTTGATGCACGGGGTGGTGAATATGAACACAGTAGAAATGAACTATAAATGTTTAACTAGATGATATTTTACATTGAGTGTGGCACATAAACAAAGAGCAGAAATTTTACCACTATGTTGGAGGGGATGTGGGGGATGTGGGGGAAGGGGGACAATGGCCCATATACAGTGGGAGTGCTAAAAAAATACAGGAGTATTGGCAAGACATAATTCAATATATACAGGGATTTTGGGGATAACTATTCAAAAGGACCAGTGGGTGTGCCTATTCTATAGGACAGAGGTGTCAGTGAAACAATATAAAAATAGTATATTATACCATCTAATCAGTAAGGCAAAAGGTTTAATCCCCAAATTTTGGCAGGCACAGAACCCTCCAACAATGAGGGACTGGATAGACAGGTTTGAGTATATAAATAAGATGGAGGAGTTATACCATATAGATGAAGATAGAATGGAAAAATTTAGAAAGGATTGGAGTAGGTGGTATGATTTTAAGACATCTGAAAAATACCTTGAAGCGATGGGTGCCCCAGTAGTAGAGTTGGAGAAATAAACTGAGTAAACCGACAGCCGCAAAGTGAAGAGAGAATATTGGTCTTGGATTGAGATTGGTAAACAGGGTAGGAAAGAAATGGAAAGAATTATCTGGACAGGGGTAATTTATCAGGGAGGCAGGGATAAGGGGGGTGGAAATAGGGGGGTAAAGAAGACATTTGGATTGTATGTGTTTTGAAAAATTATAATATTGTTGATTTATGTATTGAAATAAAATGTAATAAAACACATTAATAAATTAATAATTTAAAAAAATGAAAAGGAATTTTTCCCTTAGCTTAGTGAATGAAGTGAAGCTCTGCTGACTTCCATCATTCAATTATGTGGAAGAAAACAAATACAATTTTCCTTGTACCTGATTTGCTATTCTTTGCAAAATTAATTTTCACCACATGCACTAAGCTAAGGGAAAATTCAAAAACCAGTTTTGTTGATAGCTGTAACTATTTGGAGTGCTCGAGTTCTAACTCACACAGACAGCAAGGGTCTTTCACTGACAGAGGACAGGCTTTTCTACTCTCGCTGCGGCTGCATTTGAAAGAATCCAATTTCTGTTTTGAGGCACATGGAATGTATTTATAAACCACACTGTATAAAGTTTATACAAAAAATCACCAGCGCCAAAAAATAATTATGAAATAACTCCCAAATAAATGCTGCTGCTCCTTAGTGAGAACACCAATAAAATAACAAACAAAAAAACAAAAAACAGCGTAAATAAATAAACAACTCAAAAAATATTATAAATAATACAAAAAAAATCATACAGAGAAAAATACATGATTGTTAAATAGTCCCACTCCAAAAAATAGAATACGGTGAGTAGAATGAAATTGAAAGTCCTTATTCCAAGACCCTTGACCAGTGTTCACACCCGTTTATGCTAAAATCACATACCGCACTCACCAGATATTGGTGAAAAAAAACGCCGTATGTATGGGCTCAGGAATCCTAGATCCCCTCAACTCAGCCTCCAATCCTCAGGTAAAGATGGAAATCCCCCAATGCAGGTAAAGATATATGCCTCAGAACTCCAAACTGTAGTTTAAATCAGCCTCCAACCACCAGACATCACTCGCCATAGGAAGATGATTGGTACAGAGAAAAAATGTATATAGAGTAATACTGCAAGACTCAAACAGGTTAAATGCAAATACCAAACCACTCTTAAAAGAATGTAATCAGCATTTATTATTTATCTGGAGCCAAAACGCCACTATCACCAGGGTAAAGATCTCACAGTCAGCAACAGATGACAGCATGTTAGAATCCACCCTCTAGATGGCCCCTGAGAGCGCTGCGCCCCAGCATGCGCTCCACTCCCCGGAAGTGACGTGGTATGTTGGATGGCAAAGCCGGAAATGCGTTAACGCATTTCACGTTTTCACAGACCTTTCAGTGAGTGGAGCGCACGCCGGCATGCGGTGTTCTCAGGGGCCATCTTGCTAGAGGGTGGATTCTAACATGCTGTCTTATAGAAGGACGTTTTTTTCACCAATATCTGGTGAGTGCGGTATGTGATTTTAGCACAAACGGGTGTGAACACTGGTCAAGGGTCTTGGAATAAGGATTTTCAATTTTATTCTACTCACCATATTCTATTTTTTGGAGTGGGACTATTTAACAATTATATATTTTTCTCTGTATGATTTTTTCACACTGTATAAAGCACTGTTGATTGCTCATTGTTCTACTTAATATCTGTGAATCAGAACATAAAGATAAAATAACAGAAAGTAAGGTAAAGTGGTTTTCAAAGTGTAACTGGGTGTGCTACCAGGCTGTGGACTCCTGTGTCCACTCTTCTTCTTCTTAGGGACTGCCAATTACTTAGCAGCACAACCGTCATTGACTGCATGCAGTTCTAAAGAGACAGTAACAAGTGCACCACTATACAGATGGGCCCTAATGTTAGCTGGCTTAAATTAACAAGTTAGACACCAGGTGTTAAACAAACCAGGTATCCCATTCAGGAACACCTATGCATACCCATATCCAGTTGATTGGTGGTTTCAGGGAGTTACTGTTGGACTTTTAATTGCCATACTATAGTCTAGTATTCTTATTACTTAGTGTGACATATTCAAACATATTCCGTTATCTGTTTATTGCTGTGTGCATTGCATTTATCTTACCTTGCAATAATTTACTCACTTTATCTACCATCAAGTTGCCTGTGGTCTATTTCCTGTATGCTAATATAGTGTGGTAGTATACTAATACTTACTTAAGTTATACAGGTGAGTGCATCCTTCTATCATATACCCAGGTGTGTCAGAGGGGGTGGAATGGATTACAGAGTCTTGGCAGGACAGAGAAACCCAACACTCACCATGCTGGTTACTAACAATGCTGGTTAATTACTAGCACATGGTGAGTGTGCATTTTGATGGGGTGTTTTTGAGCACTGAATACCACATTGCTTATGAAGGAGGATCTCATTACTTCATTTACTGAGGATCATGTTTATATGGACTTTTCTGAATGGACTATATTGAGATTCCCCATTTATTGATTTTTTGTTTGCACTATTAATATGCACTTATTTTTGGTGGTGGTTATATTTAGTTGTGTGATTTGGTTTGCGCTATTATTTGTGATTTTGTATATTTTTCACATTTTTATTATTAAAAATTAGGTAAGCCTAAAATTAGGGACCCGGCGGACCAAAAATGACGCAGATCTGTAACCGGAAGTGACGTGACGGCGTTCTGTCCAGCAGATCGGAGGTGGTGAGAGCACCAGCAGTATCTGACTCACTGGAAAGGCTATATTTTAAAGGCTTACCTAATTTTTAATTGCTGTAAGTGCAATATTTGGCTTATTAAAGTTGTTTACCTTGGGTAATACACCATTGAAGCAAATTTTTTCTCTTTCTATGTAACTATGGAGAGGAGTATTTTTATTATGATCCTGGCTACCATTCATATCATGGGTGATTATTGGAGGAACCTCTGGTCTCAAGATTTGGAATCTATGTAACAAGGCAGAATAAAGGCTGTGTTCTGGTGGTCCCAGCATTTGGAATCTATGTAACAAGGCTAATTAAAGCTATGTTCTGGTGAGTGCACACCTGAGAGGGGGTGTATGATGGGCACAGCACATGGCTCAAAAGATTTTTCACTGGGAATTGCAGTTAAAGAGGACTCACATTGTGGAAGATTTTTTTGGATTTTTTGGACTTTTTCTATTTAATTTAATTCTATATTTCTTTAAATTTTCACGGGGACGTATTGTTTATGGTGTATAATTTGGGTACTATAATTTGATGTCACATATATTTTGTTGTATTTTTTTTTTAGTTTAATAATATTTTGTGCACAATATGTTTACATTGTGGGAACAACAATGAAGACAAGGAATTATGCACTGGGATTGATAAATACGATTTAATGTGTTATATATACATAATGCGCCACTATTGATCACTAATAGAGATGAGCGAATTATTCAAAAAATTTGATTCGGCTGATTCGCCGAATTTGCGGAATCAATTTGATTCGATGCGAATTTATTCGCTGCGAATTTAACTTATTAAAAGGGTTTCTAGGCTTCAGAGAGCCTTTATATTAGTGCAGAACACTGTACCTTTAATTTAAATGCCCTTGGAGTCTGCTGGGGAAGAGAAATAATACTGTCAGTCAGTATGACATGCAGATGAGTGCCGTCGATCTTAGAATCACCGCACACTTCACTCATTTGGGCAGTCACGGGGCACGACGAAGAAGATGAAGAAGATGAAGAAGAAGATGATGAAGAAGATGATGATGAAGAAGATGATGAAGAAGAAGATGATGAAGAAGAAGATGATGAAGAAGAAGAAGAAGAAGAAGATGAAGAAGAAGAAGATGAAGAACGAAGAAGATGAGGATGAGGAAGAAGAAGAAGAGGATGAGGATGAAGAAGAAGAAGATGAGGATGAAGAAGAAGAAGAAGATGAGGAAGAAGAAGATGAAGAAGAAGAAGAAGAAGAAGGAAAATAAGAAGAAGAAGAAGGAAAATAAGAAGAAGAAGGAAAATAAGAAGAAGAAGAAGAAGAAGAAGAAGGAAAATAAGAAGAAGAAGAAGAAGAAGAGGAAGGAAAAGAAGAAGAAGAAAGAAGAAGAAGAAGAAGAAGAAGAAGAAGAAGAAGAAGAAGAAGGAAAATAAGAAGAAGAAGAAGGAAAATAAGAAAGAAGAAGAAGAAGAAGAAGGAAAATAAGAAGAAGAAGAAGAAGAAGAAGAAGGAAAATAAGAAGAAGAAGAAGAAGAGAAGAAGGAAAATAAGAAGAAGAAGAAGAAGAAGGAAAAAATAAGAAGAAGAAGAAGAAGAAGAAGAAGAAGAAGAAGAAGAAGAAGAATGAAAATAAGAAGAAGAAGAAGAATGAAAATAAGAAGGAGAAGAAGAATGAAAATAATAAGAAGAAGAAGAATGAAAAGAAGAAGGAGAAGAAGAAGGAGAAGAAGAATGAAAAGAAGAAGGAGAAGAAGAATGAAAAGAAGAAGGAGAAGAAGAATGAAAAGAAGAAGGAGAAGAAGAATGAAAAGAAGAAGGAGAAGAAGAAGGAGAAGAAGAATGAAAATAAGAAGAAGAAGAAGAAGAAGAATGAAAATAAGAAGAAGAAGAAGAATGAAAATAAGAAGAAAGAAGAAGAAGAATGAAAATAAGAAGAAGAAGAATGAAAAGAAGAAGGAGAAGAAGAATGAAAAGAAGAAGGAGAAGAAGAAGGAGAAGAAGAATGAAGAGAAGAAGGAGAAGAAGAATGAAAAGAAGAAGGAGAAGAAGAAGGAGAAGAAGAATGAAAATAAGAAGAAGAAGAAGAAGAAGAATGAAAATAAGAAGAAGAAGAAGAATGAAAATAAGAAGAATTCCAGTACAGCAAAAAGTGTATCTGCAGAGAGCTCCGCTATTTCTGACAGTTCTCTGACAGTTCCTTCACATTTACAGCGGTTGAAACATTGTATCTATTTGTTTCCGAATAAAAACATCTGTATCCTAAATGGAAACAAATAGATACAATGTTTCAACCGCTGTAAATGTGAAGGAACTGTCAGAGAACTGTCAGAAATAGCGGAGCTCTCTGCAGGGACACTTTTTGCCGGCTGTAGAAGGGATGAAAATCGGCCGATCGGGAAAAATTTGATCCGTGCAATCCGAAGTTTGCTAATTTTCAGATTCGGTGCGAATCGAATTTTTCCTAATATTCGAAACGAATTCCACTTCGCCAAGTTCGATTCGCTCATCTCTAATCACTAATACTGAAGGTGGTAATATTCAAAGCACATTTGACATAGCATTTAAAGTGGCAGCTAATTTGATTTAATAACATTTAAAGAGCATCATTTAGCGCGATTTAGTGATCATATAATTATACACTCTTTGGTCACTTTTATAAAAACGTTGACGTGCCCCTGTCCCCCCTCTGCTTGCGTGCAAAAGGTGAACGCACGCATCGGTCACACACACAAAGGTGAACGCACGCATCGGTCACACACAAAGGTGAACGCACGCACGGGTCACACGCAAAGGTGAACTACGCAAACAGCGGTCCTCTTACAGATGTCAGCTGTGACTGCAAATGGCAGATCATGGGCTGTAATTTAGCACCAGACCTCCTCTGTAAATCGAAAGTTGTACCCTGTAAAGGCTTTAATGTGTCACCCATGGATAGTAACATTTACATCGTTTGCTGTCGTTGCATGGATGTGCGCAATTTTTAAAACATAAACATGTTATGTATCTATTTACTCAGCATAACATCATCTTTTATATTTTACCAAAAAAAATAGTTATGTATTGTGGGGTTTTATTTTTTTGCATTAAAATTCAAAAAAAGTGTATTCTTCCCAAGAAATTGTGTTTGAAAAATTGCTGCGCAAATACCATGTGACCCCAGAAAATAGCAACACCCACCAATTTATTCTGTAGGGCTTCTGATTTTAAAAAATATATCGTTTTTGGGGGGTTTTAAGAAATTTTCTAGCAAAAAATACTAATTGTTACATGTAAATGAAAAAAGTGCCAGAAAAGGCTTGCTCTTCAAGTCAATATATGTAATCAGGTGTGAAAGTGATCTGGGCTCCCACTTGGAAAGAAAAATCATTGGCTCCAAAAAACATTGGCTGGGACACCATGACCCATAGCTCAATCAATTCCTCTCTGGTGGAAGCTAACAATAAACTTTAATTATGCTGCTATAATTATACAAATATAAAGTTATTTATAAAACCGCAATAGTCTCAAATCAGTCTCTTTCTCAGCCTTTTTCCCCATGGGAGATCTTGAAATATTTTCTGTTCCCAGGGAACCCCTGATAAGATTAGCCCATCCGGGTCATTGGGAAAATGCCCCTTACATTGGTGGTGGTAGGTGGGAGGAATGTGGAAAGTGGCGCTGGACCTAGAACTATACAGGCACCATCAAATGGTAGGTCAATAGGCCACAGCTCAAGAAATTCCTAGCCGACTCTGGATGTATCCCGGTTGAGAATGGCTGCTCTAAAGCTTCTTAAATAGTATAAAGTTTTTTTTTCTTTTTTCTTTTTAAGCCACATCAAAAATTACCTTCTTCAAACATAGAATTGAATATTTCTTTCTGAATATCACAGAAAACATGACAGCATGTCATCAAGCTTTACTTTTCCAGGATACTTTTGCTTTTTAAAGTTTGTCAGATGGCCATACTGTACTTGTAAATGTCTTCCAGCAAGTTGAACAATGTCTATGAGAGATTAATTAGTGGATCTCATTAGGAGATAAAAACTGTAGTAATTTCCCTAATTAATAGCCCTGTAACAGTAATAGCTTTGGCATTAGCAAAATGTTGTGTCATTTAAGAAAATTAACTAAGGTTTCAGAAAATGATGATGAAAA